CCCAAGAAGAAAGCTTGAGTGGTGAACCCTCTTGCCTAGCAGTCAGCATGTGAAATCGAGACCGGAATGCCAGCAGTGCCTTCCACCCAGCGAATGACATCCCACTCTTGCTAACTGCTCCCTTTCTCCAACACAGGAAGGATATTGCCAAGGTGACAATCTTCTACCAGCAACTGAACTACCAGTCTGTGAACGAGTCTCCTTTACTCTCAGTAGGTTGCACTACATGGTCTCAAAAGTTACCTGTCATTAGTTATGATGTGCTCTGAGTGGTTGGAGGATTGTTTACAGCCCCCAAGATGGGATGGGATTATTCTTCTTAAGGAAAAGGCTTGAAAATTTCACATTTTACATGGTCAGACAAATTTACTGCCCACATGGCAAGTAGCTAACTGACCTGCTGGCAATGTGCAATAATTCCGCGTTCCCAGAGCTCTGCTGTGTTTGATAAACACAACCCTTTGGTTGTCTCCACAGGAGAATCTGCTGCTGTCCAGCATGGGAAGCCAATGGAGTCTCTGGTTTGGATCCTCAGTGTTGTCTGTAGTTGAAATGTTTGAGCTGCTTATAGATACACTGGTCTTGTCTCTCCTCTTCTGCTACCAAAGGTTCAGGTCCAAGAAGACATTGAAAGTAGCTCACACTCCTACCATCCCCAGTGTGAGCCTGAGCCTAGAAAACTACCGAGTTGTGCAAGAAACAGCTGGAAAAGGTGATGATTCTGTTCATACTCACCCTTCTGGAGTGACTATTGCCATGGAGAACAGTGGGCTGCATCTTCACCCACTCTCCAGCAAGGTGGAAATGCCAGAGCTTTGCCCAGATGTGGTGCTTAATGGATTTAGACACACGAAGGACAGCTCTTTGGAAGGGGAACTTCGTAGCTAAGGCTGTGTTTGTGTGCACAGAGGCGTGTTCAGGTGCTGTCAGAAAGGTTGCAAGCAGAAATGTTCTGGATCCGCAGCCTGTGAGCACCTAAAAACCGCACTGCTGAGCTTGACCATCCTCCTCCAGCTGTTACAAGTTCATTATTAAGCCACCCGTGTGTCCTGGATTCAGGCATCGTGCAATGATCTTCCGTTGCTAATGAGTCTCTGGGGAGGGGAGGACTGTACTACTCCCTGGGACCGTGTCGAGTCCTCATAAAAGCCTGTTCATAGCTTTTAACTTCCAAACCCTTGTGAGGAAACCAGCCTGTGGCTTCAGACAGGCCCATCTACATTTCACAAATGCGCTCCAGAGAAAAGTTAGCCGGGCTGTTAGTGGGAAAACTCCCAATGGAGGCTGAGTGTGTGCTCCCATCAGCCAGCGTTGGCTGGAGGATGACAGAGCATGTAACAGGAGGTGGCTCTGATTCCAGCTTTGCTCCTGAGACACCTCTCCGTCCTTAACCTAGTGCTGTCGTGTTTTGAGGACAAGGCACAGAATGCTGCTGCTGAGATGCTTTTAGACTTAACCCAGATTATTTCAAATGAGACCCACTATCTCAGAAGAAAATTAAGAGAAGAAATGGGGTTGATAACTTTTCTGTGTCATAGGTGAAGCATCTGATTTGTTTGGAAAATTAAAACAATGCTGCGTTTTTGTTGCAGTCCGTTTATAAATGGTTTAATGTTAATATTTGACAGTAATTTATGTGTACATAACATAACACATTTATTTTTGATGATGATGTTTGCACAGGAGCATTTTACTCATAATCGTGTTTATGACTTTCTGTAGAAAACAAGAATTGACAAGAAACCAATGAGCTTTGTTTTGTAACCTTTTTTAAATAATAAAATGCTCTGAATACAGACTATTGCTGGGGATTAGTTTGACTTTGTTTAGCCTTTGACCCATATCTGGCTTTGTTACTGCCTAATTGTTACTTCTAAATGCTGGCTCTGGAAAAGTCTTACTCGAAATGCCCAGAGCTTACCTGCGGAAGCCTAAATGCCCAGGGCCAAACCTTGAAATGAGGTTTGGTTCCAGACACAGAGGTGGGTTCCTCGCAGCCCTCAGTTCGCTGCTGGCTGACATCATTGGAAGCCAAACACTTCTGAAAGTCTCACTTTTTTTTTGCTTGAGAATCTTTTAACAGCCTGGACATCCTCCCTGCAGCACTTCCCAAGGGATCTGAAGGCCTGTCCCTGCTCCTAGAGCGGGGTACACCGAGCCCAGATGAATTGGGCTGCCATACACCAGCCGGGTTACAATGAACAGGATCATGTGGGCTCCATCGCAGAGGGTGCTTGAGGCTTTTCTCTGGGAAAAAGAGAAATTTTCCTTTGCACTGGGAAATACCACTTCTCCGCCCACCTGCAAGAGTGATTTTATGCAATACTGTAGTCTGAGGGACCCTGCTGAGAAAGGACACCACGAAGAATAAAAACCACTAAGGACAAGAAGGAGAGAAAAGGCGCTAGACTTCTGCGCAGAACATCTGGGCATGTGCTGGGAATGCAGAACTCAAGCGGGAACTGAGGGATTACAATGCCTTAGGTACACACACGCCTGTACGTCTGCACGGACATACACTTCACTCTCAAAAGAAAGACCCTCTCAGGACTCCCAGGCTTGTTACCACTGGGACTAAATGGGAAGGCTAAAGGTTAGCTGAAAGGAATTTGATGAAAGAATCCTTATACTGACCCCAGTGCACACACAAAAAAACGACTGCAGAATTCTGCATCACTAAATGTCATTTCTAGGAGGGGCCAGTCTGGGGACAGAGGAGTGCAGGATCAAGGATCAAGTGGCAATGCCTTGTCTCGTGGTCAGATTTGGATTCAGAGGGATGTGGCAATGCAGGACAGGGATCTGTTAGCAGGGGTGTGTGCTTCGCTCTGCACATGTGCAGACCCAGAAGAGCAAGGGGTGTTGCAAGCCAGGAGGGAGATGCTTTGGCAGTGTGGTATGCGAGTGGGCAGGGAATGCCTATTGGTCGTTTGAAGGCAGAAGACTGGAAGAATAAAAGGGTTTGGGGTTCACTATGGGAGAGGGACAGGGGGAAAATTCACTTCCCACCAGCTTGTACCACCTTTAGTAGAATAAAAGAATGGTTTCTAAGCTAATCGAAGCATAAGTAATAAGTATTCAGTTTGAAGGTAGCTTAGAGCAATCTTCTGTGAGGGTGTGGACTAATTTTCAGCTTAGTAGCTGCCTCTTTATTACAGAACATTCCCATAGTCTGCTGTAGTTGGGAAATCAGCCATATAAACTCTTCATGAGGTTCATACCTCAGTGCCTGTGATATCATCACTGAAATATCTGTCCTATTTGGAGCTCCTTACACCTGACCTGTGCACTTCCAGTGTGGGGCAAACATTGAGGCACAAATGGGAGTCACTTCATAACTCAGAATCACACAGCAACGCCATAGCAAGGTATAAATCCAGAGTCCCAGCTCTCTACTCCAGCGGCCAGGTTCCTGTTCTTCCCTGATGGAAAGCTTCTGTGGCAGCCGCCACAGAAATCAAAGCTGAGCAGCTGGAAACGCAGCAGGTTGATTCAAGTCCCTTTCCTGCTGCAAGCTGCATGGCAAGCTCTTCTGTCAGCGTGCCCAGAACGCTGCCAGCAGCCCAAGGAGCAGCTGGCCATCATCCTGCACCACTGCCCAGCTCAGGGCAGGGAGCCCAGCCCCTTCTCGGAGCGCACATCCCACCGCGCAGCTCCACGCTCACCCCGGAGCATCTCGCCTTGGGTCCCTGTGTCTGTGACAGCCTGTGACAGCCTCCTTCCGTTGTCTGCTCAGGGACGTGTTTGGAGGCTTGTCTCTTAGGAGAAACATCCTGTCAGAAGGGCTGAGATGTCTATTAAGCTGCCACGTAGCCAGTGTGTTTCATTAATAGCATTAATGACATTAGAGCATGTCTTAATCAGATAAAACATAAGGACTACCCAGAGAGTGAGAATCCTGTGTCTGGAGAAAAGTTCATTTAGCTTCCTCTTTTCAAGCCATAAGACTGTGCCAGATCAATTTTGAGTTTTGAACCTTCTCATACTAACCATCTTCACTGGCTTGTAAAGATCTACCATCACAAGAATGAGGAAATGTGTGTGAATTGACAAAAAAAAATAATCCTCGCTTTATTCTCAGGTCATAGATGCTGTTCGCACGTAAGATTTATTCACTCCCACCTTTTCAAAAAAATACATTTCTTCTGCCATAAGATATATTACATTTCAGCACGTCATAGTTTATATACATCATCCTGACAAGGCGCTTCGCTACGTCACGGTGCCTATACCTGTATAGTCCACACATAACCTTTTATTATTTTTGGTAACTAGGACATAAAATAATGAAACTGAGAAAAATAATACTGAAAGCTGTGCCTTACCGAAGAGTACAACTCTCCTAACAGTGGCTGCACGACTAGCAGGAGATAGGGAGCCCCTGGGGGAAAGAGCTAGGTTCTGTTTCCAGTGCTGCTCCTGGTGTCTCCGCAGAACTGGTATGGTACTCCCGGTCCCTGCGAAACCAAATGTCTCAAAACACACAGTGGCAGCGGCAGCGGAAGAGGCGAGTTACACAGCAGCACTGATTTTAGGGGCGGGCACTGTTGCAGTATCATCAGTGCTAGTGCTTGCGTACACCCAGAAAGGGAGATTTTTCCCAGAAAGGGAGATTTTTCCCAGAAACAGCAATGTAGAAAGGGAGAATGGGAAAAGCAGTGTAGAAATATTGAGCTAAAACGTCAGCTCAACTCATTTTAAACCGCATTCAAGTACTGCAAGGCACGGGACCTAAGCCTACACTCCGAATGCATACCTATTCTGGAATTACCCCTGGAACGCCGTCTCCCATCTTCCTGGTCCAGGCACAAAAGCAGGCACCAGGGAAAGCAAGGTTTCTAGCAGAAGCATGTCTGAACCGAGAACATCTTTTTCCCAGCAGCTGAGCTCAGGTTGCCTGTTCCAGCTGCTCAGGCGTGTCTGCCGCCGGCGCTCACGGAGCTCGGGCAGCCCAGAGCTCGACCCTCCAGCAGAAGGGCTCGGCACAGGGAGGGAGGGGGCTATCTGCAGGAGTGGCTGAAATGTAGGCTCCTCCGTTTGAGTTTCTCCGGGTTGTTCGAAGCCATGTGAGAGAACTCCCGGAAGATGTCCAGGTAGGTAGCATCTCCTGCAAAAATACACAGGAAGAGGAATTAATCCCAGTATTTTTGCTTTGCCTTGTTTTGATCATTTCCCACCCACGGCGCTCATGGTGCATTTTCACTCGCAAGGCACGACTTCCATCTGGGTGTAGGAGAGGGCTCCACGTGTGAGAGAAAGAGCTCAGCTCTTGAGCCTTGCACGGCCTCAGGGGGGTTAGTCTGGGCTTTCCATCTTTGTTAATACAAACAGGCTTATTCATGAGCTTGCACATGCCAACATGCTCTCAGGACTCTTGCATCAGATTTGGGATAATTTCTCCTTTTTAATATTGTTGGTACTTTTTTCCAAAGCCTAAGAGACAGCAGAGATGCTTTTAACACCCAAAGGAGAGAGCCGAGCGCTCTGAAATGCAAAGGTCTTTCGTTGTGCCTCCTGTGCAACAGCAGAACTTCCCGCAGTCAGAATCACGGGGTTTGGTTCGCTGGAGACAGCGTTCAGCCAGCGGCAGAGACAAAGTGATTCACCAGTTGTCTGGCTTCCCTGCTGGCAGCCAGACTTTTCAGAGGTTGTTATGGCAGGTGCAACATCAGTCCACCTGTACTGGAACAAAACCACAACCTGTTGAAGGGCATTATCAGATAATAACAGTTCTGACAGCTGAGTCAAGGCCCTGCTCAAACCACAGGTGAAGGCAAAGGGTTCAGGTGTCCCAGCAGTGGTTCCATGACAGAATCTCCTTTGGCGCAGGAACAGTTTCAGACTTATGCTGCAATTTTAGAGATAATTAGGCACCCGCATCCCATTGATGATATCTCTGCTTGTACGTTTGCTGCTTGATGTTCTAGGGCAAATTTTGCCACGGACTGGTCTGCTGAGCCCATTTTTACCTGGTGATGAACCCATGTAGCCACAGGGGAAAAGATAAGGGAAAGATCCCAGGTATTCACGACAGGGTGCAGCTACCTTTAGTCTTTCACACAGAGCTCCTGTGCCCTTTGACAGAAGACGTCCTGGAGAGTCACTGAGGGGGTAGATCCACCGGTGCTAGGAGCTGCATAGCTCCAAGGCACATCAGCTAGGACAAGGACAAGAGGAAACGGCCTCAAGTTGTTCCAGAGGAGGTTTAGACTGGATATGAGGAAAACTTTCTTCATGGAAAGGGCTGTCAGGCATTGGATCGGGATGCCCAGGGAGGTGGTTGAGTCACCACCCCTGGAGGTATTTTAGAGCCATGTGGACAAAGTGCTTAGGGACTTGGTTTAGTGGTGGGCTTGGCAGTGTCAGGTTAACGGTTGGACTTGATGATCTTAAACGTGTTTTCCAACCAAAAGGATTCAATGCTTCTATGATCTGTCAACATTGGTGCAGTGCTGAGGGAAAAGCTCAAAAACCTGGTTCCCCAAAGCCAAGTCATTAGCAGGATGCAGAGTAACTTCATTTTGCCTCACAAACTAGGCTGGAGAGAGTAGTCTGAGTGTATCCAGCCGGCTGAGAGTGGCCAGAGATGGTTTGCAGCTTCCCCTCACGCCTGGCAGAGCTCCCTACCTTGGAGGCAGCCTCCAAGAAGCATTCCTCCAGCTGCTCCTTCACTGCAAGCTCGAAGGACAGGTCCCTCTGCGATCATGGTACCTGTTTCTACCCCAGCTCATGGGTGAGCACACTGGGGTGTGAGAACTCTCTCTTTTCAGTGTATGAAAGCGTCCAGGCCAAAAGGTCTTGAGAATGAGAGTCTTCATCATTATCCCCATGCAACGTAAACCTCGTTGTCAGGCAGGCTTTAACCAGGATCTGCTGATTTTCAGGCACAGCAATGCTCAGGAATGTATGGTTTTGTACCTGCCACAAAACCAACCTGACCTACCTGTTAACTCCTGATTATAGTCACTTGAGCCCCTCCTTAACTGGTGGGACTCAGCCTGTTTCCACTGCCCCTGCCAGCACTGTCCCATGCATTATATCCCAAAGTGACAGTGACTTCTGCTTTGCAGCCCGTTAGGCCACTGTCCCCTCCCACCCATGACCCACACTGCCTCTCATTCTCCATGTGCATCACCCCAGCTTCCTAGTGTTTCCACCGCCACCTTTTCCTCCCCAGCTTCCCTAAATAAAACGTACTCCCTTTCAGGGAGAAGAAAAAACTCCACACCCTCACACGCCTACGCACTACACAGAAAACAGGTAGCTTTTCTGAGGGCAATAAAGCCTCGTCTCTCCACGGTTTATCTGGTTTATCCAGAATGAGCCTGGTGTTGAACTCCTGAGCAGACCTGCCAGCAACGGGTAAGCCAGTGCTGAACCAGCTGAGCCCTGGTGTAGGGACCAGGCAGCAGCCACTACTTCTCCTCTTTGATCCTGGCTTTGTTTTGACCCCCCGTGGGATGGTGTCGAAGTGGCACTCTTGGGCAGTGGGACAGAGAATGGCTATTACCTTCTGCCAGCAGCCTGACCATGGTGGTAAGACGAAGAGTACAGCCTTGTTCAGTAAGATCACTAATCCTCCTGCGCACCGGTAAAATACCTTCTCTGGCAACACTCAGCTGCAACTCCAATTACAAGAATCCCACTGTTGTGGTGAAGTACTAGTCCTGGATTTTTCAAGGTATTTAAGCATTTAATCCTCATTAACAAGAAACAGTCTTTTGGAGATCTGGGTTTCTGTAATCACATTTCAGCCTTCAGCGTAGTTATCCCTGGGAGGTCGGGTGACACTACAGTCTCCAGGAAATGCAAAGGTAGCAAACTAAAGGGGTGGCAGTGGGAGTCAGCAAGAGGGTGGGGAGTGAGCGACGTGTTTGCCAAGCTCTGTCCTTATAAATTTACCATGAGACCATGCAGTTCTCCTTCCATAAACGCCTTAAATGACCGTAATGCTCCTGATTTCAAAGTATCCTTCCTATTTAACTCCTTCACCGAGGTCATGAGCCTACCTGGAATCATCAATAGGCATCTGTTTGTCCCTCCAAGGGAAAACAGAGATTATTGCACAATTCCGTTTTTCTGCATGTGTTTTCCATGCTAAGTATGACAGAAATCACGAGGCCAGGCCAGTCTTTCTTTTCTTCTTCTTCTTCCTTTATTTTTCTGCCACAGACACACAGCACAAGCGAAACCAACGGAGGAAGGATTGCGCTGTGATATGTGGGAAATGGTGCTCCACGGGCGGAAGACTGGTGTTTTCACCTAGTGCAAGGTCTCCTCGGAGAGGACAGCCACCAGCAGAGCTCGTAACATATCAAGCATTAACTGATTCAGGTGCTCTGAAGAAACATGAATGGGTGGGGTGGGGGTGACCTGAGCCTGTCACCTTTACCCCAGCCTTCTTCCAAAGCACCCTGAAATCACATTATCACAAGACAGCGTCACAGAAACCCAAACAAAAATGCAGAGCATTTATGTGGCGTTCCAATCTATTCACTGCCATAAAATCCAAGCTGCGGGTTGCAGAGAAGGAAAACAGGTTAAAAGAGAATGGTTTAATACAGGCAACAAAGCAAGAAACCCTAAATAAATCAATGAAGCCAAAGAAGGAGGAGGGAAGTAGTTTATCTAGATTTTTATTAACAGTATTTCAAGAGACAATAGAAGAGAAGGGAGGGGGAAAAAAAGGCAGACACCACAGCAACAGTTTTTAAATTGTACAAAGGTAATAACATACAGAATATCTGGTTCCATAGTTACAGTCA